TACGCTTCGCGCTCACTGATCTTTTTCATAGCTCCGATCGGCCACATGCATTCCATATCGTGGCAAGATATTCAAATTCATGAAATATGCACACTAAAGGGAACTCGGCCCGAATTATTCGGGCGCGGAGTGTAGTGCACTCCTCCGTAGCCATGAGTCATAACCCATGACCAGTGGTGATTAACCAGTTCTGCCTCTACTCTATGTTTTGGATAGTGTTCTACTGTGACACGTCTGGACTGTGTGTACTGCAACTCTCTGTGGTTGAAAGACGATGCTACCGCTGAAAACTGTCCTTGAGTGTATTGGTGGTGACATAGCCGGCTATTAGCCGGTACGCCAACGGGCGTGGTTCCCTGATAATGGGCCCTACGTTGCGTTGTGCTGTAGATTGCTAAGCAAATATCGACACCACGTTCGTCCCCGAACCAGAACGTGGGCATTCCTAGGGAAAAGTTGTAAAAAGCTTAGTTGAAAGTGCGCATCGAATTCACGCTCGACACGGTAAACCTTGAGTCATTCGGGCGAACCTTTTTTCTCCGCTATCCTTCTGACCAACCCACGAATACGATCATGTACTCCAGGCAGCATTTTCAGAGATATCTCTCATTTTCCGACTTTTGAGATAGGAGAGCAGACACGGTAGCGTCATGCAGAATGTTTCACATTCAGCAAAGAGTACCCGAAGCACACACAAGGGATGGTGCAAAAAACCATGATGTCTGGACTCAGTCCTGGCTAGCTAATTCACTGCTCGGCACGGCTACTGGTGGTAGCATTAGAGTGTCCGGCTCAGAGACAATAATGTTCATCATAGACCTTAGAAATTGTTATCAAATTACGCTTAGATATGTCATCGTTACGGAATCGCGCTCGCCCATGTCATCGATATGTCGACGAAGCCGACTACCCAAGCAAACCGCGAGTCTTTAGTCCTTTTTAGTGCTGGAAGTTCCCACCAGGCTCTCTACTGCTCAAAAACCGTTGAATAGTTGCTGCGCGTCGATGCTCGGGCTCTGTTGAGGTCTCGAAAAATCAGTGGTGTGGGTTACAGTTGGGGGTAGGTTACAGCTGAGGTCATCAGCGTATCATCTCAGGCGTGATCATCAGTGGCTCGTCCTTTTCACGACATTCGTACGATGTCTTTGTAGTCGTGTAGACTCATCATAACGATCGTAGTAGGAATCAGTGAAAATTGAGTTTCATAATAGGATCAGTGTTGGCACTAAGCGAAGACCGATGAGCCTCAAGTGGACATGTTTCGTATCTTCTTGGCATGAACCTTAGATCTTTCCATCACAGTTTATTTGCTGCAGCTGAACTCCGTCGTATTTTCCATCATCATGTTCAAAGGCCCCGTGGGAATCCAATCACTTTTGAAGGACGGCACTCAGAGCTACGCCGGAGTTGATGAGGCCCTGCTGAAGAATATGGAGGCCAGCAAATACGTCTCTGAGATAACCAAGGTAAAACGGGAGGGCGCCAAAACTGTCCTGTCCTATCGTTCATCCTCTCAGACTTCTCTAGGGCCTTGCGGTACCAACAAACTGATTGTCAACCATATCAACAAACACTTTGTAACCAGCGACACTGCTACTATGCTTAAGGAGCTCGACGTAGACTCACAGCGCATCGCCATGCATGATATGATATTTCAGATATTCCATCCGGCAGCTAAGCTAGTGGTGATGGCTGTCCAGGCTCAGGAGCAGGAGTGTGGCGACGGTCAGCATCGGTACTGGGTGTAGGGTGATGCCGTTGTTTTAGCTACTAATTTGGTATCGATTATCATTGGAGAACTGCTTGAAAACGCCGAACAGCTGTTGAAGCAAGGCATTCATGCTTCGGATATCATTCGTGGATACGAGATGGCCGGTAGTACTCCTGTTAGCATTCCAAGGCTGATGATGAGGTCTGCTCAGGTGACCGTGTGGTTAAGTACCTTAACGATAACGATGATTTGGTTGCATATACCCTAGGGGATGTCAAGAGCGTGGACCAGGTAGGCACGATAGTAGAAGGCGTCAGTTCCTATTACGACGGTCGCTGTTCAGATCAGTACCGCCATCAAGTCTGTCTTGGGAGCAAAACAATATGGCCTTGAGGACACTTTGGTAAGGAGCAATCGATGCCCGGCATTTTACTCTGTGCGATTCAGACTCGCCTCGTTGCAACGGCATGCTGCTCGGTTATGCCTGAGGACCCCAAGAAGTTTGACATCGATAACATCAGAGTGGCC